TACAGAGATCTAACATGGGAAGGGGCCCTTGTTGTGGTTGTTAGTCCCTTAGCAAATTGGCCAAGACTTAACTCTTATCATATCATTCCAGCCTAGTGTCCTTGGCAAAACTACAAGTTCCCTGATTATAAACTATCTTTTGTTTAGGAGGGGGTCATGCTTGACTACAACTCCAGTCAAAAATATGTATTTTTTAGATGCAGGGGAAACATCAGGAGAGAATGCTTCTGGAACATGGCCATACAACCCGAAAAACTTACAACAACCCAGTGATTCTGGCCATGAAAGCTTTTGACAATACATTGTATTTTTTTTTTTTTAGTTTGGGATAACATAGGGAAGGGTAACACCCCTGTGGAGTTTCCTTTGCTGCCTGTGTACTTTTTGTCCCCATGAGAATTGGGTTTTGGAAAATATGGCTTGTTGTGGAAACAAACTGAAGAGAAAGCTTCATGACCAAAAGAACATACTGGAGGGGTTTCTGGTGGAAAACTGAATCATAAAGGAACTTCATTCAGGTTGCTGTACCATTAGCAACAGGCAGAAGCCTATAAAAAGAGAAGAAACTTTCAACAAAGTCACAATCAGAAGCGCCACACTGTGTTTCATGTCGTAGTTTTAAAAGTTTATTTTTAAAAATGAAACCATTGTACATTGTACAAACAATAGCTACCGATGGAATAAATAAGTGAAAAAGGATACTGCTGTACACACAAAATCAGTATTAAGATGGAGAGAAAAAGAAAAGGAACTATCAGGTCTCTTTAAAAAAAAAAACACCACCAAATGTTTTACACCTTCTCCCAGGCCTTTTCAATATAAAGAACATTCCCAAACATTGCAACGTATGAAGAAAAGTCTGCCCCCACCCCAAAAGCCAGTCATTTGGATGCGGATTCGTTGCTCAAGGCCAGCGCTTTCTGGAATGTTTAACAACTTTGCTCCCTTAAGTCTAAGGAAAACGGACAGTTTTTCTCTAAAACGTCTGCCTGAGCCAACTGTCTGTCTGGAAGGCCTTCGTGTCTCACTCTGTAGTTTCCTTTGCTAGCTGAATGTCTAGCTTGTTAGTTGTGAGTGATGGAAAATCCAAATGCCCAGCATGCATGGAAGGAAGCATTTTTTTTGATATTTCAACTACCCGTATTTCATTGCAAAATAGTCGCACACTGCATTTTTGAGAGTGCCAAAAATTGCAGTTTTATTTTCCTCACATAACAGACGCATCCCCATTTGGGGCTGATTCTCCCTTCCTTCCTTCTCTGAAGGCAGTTTAAAAACTATAAAATTGAGGTCTCTGAAGCTCCACTCTTCTCTCCTTCTTCCAAGGCCTTAACACTGTTTAAAAAACATGAAATTGAGGTGTCTGGAACTCGGATCTCTCCTCCTTACTCCAAAGAGCTTCATTCCAGGTTTTGTAAACTGCCTTAAGGCCTCAGAAGGAGGAGGGAGGAGAGAAGAGTTGAGCTACAGAGGCCTCCATTTTGCATTTTTAAAACTGCCTTGCCTTCAGAGAAGGAAAAAAGAGAAGAAAAATGAGCCCCAAATCTCTCTGTAGTTTTAAAAATGGCTCTGTAGTTTAAAACAAACAAACAGAAACAGAACTCTTTTAGGTTGGCTCATCCCTCTTCCTCATCCTTTTGGAGGCAAGGCAGTTTTAAAAAAACCCTGATGAACCAGATAATCACGCAGACTTTTTTTCATCGCGTAATAGTCACATCACTCTTCAATGAAAAAAAACCGAGGAAAGTGTGAGTATTATGCAATACAATACGGTATTTCGTTACAAATACCAAATAGCCAAAAAAAAAAAAAAACAGAAGCCAGATCTAGAACTGAGCCTCAAGTGATGCTGATTAGGATATCTTTTATTACAGTTTTCAAGTTTTTTGTTTCCCAGCCCCACGTTCAAAACAGCCTATCAGTGTTATCAGGCACTTTGAGAAAAGATTAGTAACAGTCCGTACACAATTCATGAATTTCTACATACGGATAGGTCAGATTCCTACCCAGTCCTTAGAAACAGGTACAGACACTAAGAGGGTTTCAAGAGTCCAATCCCCACTCACCACACATTACCAGTGATTTCACAGAAAAAGGGTCCCGAGCTTAGTAATTTCGGGTCCGTCTACACTGTCAAATGAATGCAGTTTTGACACTATAATAATTGTACATATTTTTTAAAAATTCAAGTACATTTTTATTAATAATAATGAGGGAACGGGAAAGAGAGAGTATAGAATTCCATGTAAAGTGGGGGAACAATTGTATAAAAGAAAAGTAAAGAAAGTAGGGGGGGGGGGTATCCAGTACAAATATAGACAAAGAAGGTTAGAGAGAACAAAATTAAAACAAATTGAAAAATTGAAAAAAAAAGTTTGAATAAATTTGAAGAATTGAAACTGTGAAAAGATAAAAAAAGATGAAAAAATGAATAACATATAAAATGGTGACTGCTATCTAATCCTTTGCGGTTTAGAGTTTATTCCATCCAATGGGATTTTGGCTTGCATCAATAGGAGCATAGTGTCTAGATCTAGGGAAGTCATGCTACCCCTCTATTCCGCTTTGGTTGGACCACACCTGGAGTATTGTGTCCAATTCTGGGCACCACAATTCGGGGGAGGTGTTGGCGGGCTGGAGTGTGTCCAGAGGAGGGTGACTAAAATGATCAAGGGTCTGGAAAACAAGCCCTATGAGGAGCGGCTTAAGGAGCTGGGCATGTTTAGCCTGAAGAAGAGAAGGCTGAGAGATATGTTAGCCATGTATAAATATGTGAGAGGAAGCCACAGGGAGGAGGGAGCAAGCTTGTTTTCTGCTTCCTTGGAGACTAGGACGCGGAACAATGGCTTCAAACTACAAGAGAGGAGATTCCATCTGAACATGAGGAAGAGCTTCCTGACTGTGAGAGCCGTTCAGCAGTGGAACTCTCTGCCCCGGAGTGTGGTGGAGGCTCCTTCTTTGGAAGCTTTTAAACAGAGGCTGGATGGCCATCTGTCAGGGGTGATTTGAATGCAATATTCCTGCTTCTTGGCAGGGGGTTGGACTGGATGGCCCATGAGGTCTCTTCCAACTCTTTGATTCTATGATTCTATGACCACTTGAATTGCTATGGCTCAAGGCTATGGGATCCTGGGAGCTGCAGTTTGACAAGAGCTTTCATCTTCTCTGGCAAAGAGGGTTGGTGCCTCACCAAACTATGTGAGTCCCTTTGGAGAGATAAGGCGGAATACAAATACAGTAGTATAGTAGTTGTTATTATTATTATTATTCACACTACACTTTAAAGAGTAGCTATCCCACTTTAAATCCTCTGTCTGCCTCCTGCAGAATTCTGGAGTTGGTAGTTTAGGTCCAGGACATCTCTGGCTAAGAATTTTAAAGCCCTGTCCCTAAACTGCAAATCCCAGGATTCCACAGGAGGCAGCCATAAGATTGAAAGTGGGATGCCTACTCTTTATCTACGTTTTAAAGCAGAGGTGTCCAACTCATTTCCATCTAGGGCCCCATCAGCCTTATAGTTGCCTTCAAAGGGGCCACTGAATCCATGGAGAATCTGTGGAGATGGGGGGAGGGGGGGGTGTCCAACTATAATTTTTTCACAGAATGGTTTTAGTTTTTGCCCAGCTGGGTCCCCAGATGTTATTGAATGACAATTCCCATCACTTTTAATGAGCCGCCATGCAAACTAGGGATAATGGGAAATGCAACCCAATGGCATTTGTGGCTCTGAGGTTGGGAAAAGATGAAAGGACATTTTAAAGCCAGACACCTTACCCACAAACCTTGTATCTAAATTCAAGCCCCTCAAGCCGTGAGGAATGGCAGGTAAAAATAAAATTATCATTATATTATTATTATTATTATTATTATTATTATTATCAGAACGAACTGCAGCCTTCCAGATGTGACTGTATCCCAACTCCCAGCAGCTCTAGTCATGATAATGTCTAACGATAAGGAATACAGGGGTTGGAGTCCAGCATCTGGAAGGCTGCATTAAAGGATATGGCGGGCCATATTTGGCCCACGAGTCTTGACGCATGTGCTTTAAAATGTAGTGTGATAATGTCCAATAACTCCCAAGATTCCACAGCATTGAGCCATGACAGTTCAAATAGTGTCAAAACACATTTATTCGACAGCGTAGAACTATCCTTGCCAAAAAAATTGCTTACGTATCAACGTGGTGATGGCTGGGGTTTTTCTTGAGCCCTGGGATAGTACATCGATGGAATGGTTCATCAAAGCCTACTTCTGCGAATCTTTCAAACACAGGGCAACACCTGCAAGCCAAGTACCCGCAGGCCCTGTCAGAAGACAAGAATCATCATGCCACAATAGTAGGCATTGTTGTCTCCTTGGAGGGACAAAGCCATTGGAAGAATTCAGAAGCTAAGTTCATCATGAAACTGATCCATGTCAGTAATGCCAAGACGTGTCTCTCTCTACCTAATGAAAAAATTGAGGTATTTTAGTGCTATTTATATATCTTTTTTATTATTATTACTCATTACATACAGGATTCAGCGTTGAAATCAAAAACCTATCTACTTCCTTGGAATTTTTATTTATTAAAAAAGGAAGAAAAAGACACCACCATGAAACAGAAGCTTCTAGAGGCAGCAACAACCGGACATGACAATAGGTCAATGATGGTTTCCGAGCCACAGACCATTTGAGCACTGATCAATTCAAAGCTACGTAATTACCTTTTTTAAAAAAATTCAAAAAAATATATTTTGTCTATTCATAGATCAGCCATGGTTTTTTTTTAAAAAAAACAAAAACAAAACATAACCCCTTGTTAGCTATAGATGTAAGGTCTATATCGATTGCTATGTAACCAGTCGTCATCCCCATTTCTGAAGCAGATACAAAACGCAAGAAAACAAATTACCATTCAGTTCTGTATACTGTGCAAATATAACATCTTTCAGATATTCGGTTTTGCAGTTTGAGCACTAAGATACTTTTCACGAATAATTTCCAACCAAATTGAATTTTGATGAGATTCACAATGTTTATTTCAATGTCAGAAGAGAAGAGATTCTCGTGCATACGGTAACTGTTTTGTCATTTCCCACAAACGTTTTACGGAAGGCCTGAGTTACACTTCCATTGCTTCCATCCCCCCCTCCAATAATTCCTTGAAAATGCAACACAGTACTTTAAAAAAACCCAAAAAACAACCAAGCCATTTTCACCATTGGAAAGACCAGAAAGAAAGGTTAGTAAGTGAACAGTTTGGATAGGAAGAGAATCGATGATTCTGAAAAGTCACCTGGCACTTCCAATACAAAGACGATCTTACCATGTCTTTATTTCATAGGTGGCTTCCTGGCTATGAGGCTTGTCTTTTCCTCGAAGGCATCTGTAATTATTTGAGTCTTTCTAATTTTCCACAGCCATCAGGGAAAACTGTATGAAGTTGTGCAAAAGGCTGAGCATAGTCCAAGTCCCACTGAGAACGCGGGAAACCGCTAAAACTAAAGGTGCCTTGATTTCAGGGAGAATCGGTCATGATTTGGGGGGATTCCTTCTATTCCAACAGGTATCAAGCACCACATATTTACAGACAGTTCTAACCTGTTTTCCGCCCCATCTGTCACCCCGCAAAGCCCACAGACATGAAAAACTTATCTGAAACAGATATCTGAAGAACAGAATGTGGAAGTAAGAAAAGTGTATTTACAAACTCCCCTTGAAACAGAAAGAAGCTTCAAGTACAGTACAGGCTGGAATATGCATCAGTGAAGAGCTGGTTGGAGAACAGTGCAAGGAAATCCCGTTTTGCGAAAACCAAATTTAAGAATTAAAAGCAACCATCAGCCCTAATGTGTGTGTCAATTCAAGCCTGCATTTATAACAAACGACTCTTCAAAATGCTCAGGTATAGATATCTCAATCTTGTACTTTAAAAAAAAGCATCATGTGTTTCAAGAATTATCCAAGTCATCACTAATGAAACAAAGAGCAGAGCACAGATACTTCAGAAAACAGCCAGAAGGATGTATTTCACCATGAATTTCTCCAAAGCAAACTATATTTTCCGCGCATTTATTTCCATGTGCAATGCACAACAGGAGAAATTCTTCACGGCTCTCATACAACACATTCAGATATAAATTATCCCTGTAAATACAGGAAAAATCCATCTCAAATCCATGACACTAGCCTCCAACAGTGAAAATGGCTTCCTGGTTTCCCCTCTGTTCTCTCTCATGTCAGAGGAATAAGCACCAAACTGAGGGAGGAGGGCCCCCAGCTAATCACTTCCTATGCAGCATCAGACATCAGCCACTTTGCAAAGGAGACTGTTGCCCAAAAAACAAGCTTAAAATGAGCACTGGTTTCTTTTTGTTTTGGGACACAAGGCACAAAAAAGAAACGAAAAGCAGACATCACATCTGAACAATGAGCTTCACATGAGAAGAGAATATCTGACCTGTACCATCCTTAAATATCTTATAATGTTAAATAGAGAATGGAAACAAAACAAAAAATACAGCAGCAACATAATGGTAAATCTGACATTAGAAACAGTGCGTCGACCCCTCCTGAGTTGTTCACTCCAACCATTTCAGAGACAGTTAACTTAAAATTCTCAACGGTTTTGCTTCACAGGAAAAGAAGTTTTCAGTGTCTGAAAAAAAGATTTAAGCCTTTGCTTGGTTTTCTTGGATTTCCGCTGGATAAACTTGCAAAGTTCCTAGGAATTCTGTCTTCATCCAAGAGAAGATACTTAATTATAGTTGTTCTATAATTTAGCCCACTGGTGTACCTTACATAAAAACTGGCCAGGAAAAAAATCTAGAGTTTATATTTCGTCAACATTTTGTTGAGAGGAAGCCTCTACTTTCATCTTTTTGGAAGGCGGTGCTCCTTCAGAGTCCTTGAGGTGAGAGAAGAAAGAAAAGAGGATTAGCAAAAACTGCGCAAAATAAAATCAAATTTACTCTTGTATTCCAAGCATAGTACGGCATCACCAACTATGCTTCCTGAAGTTCCTCATCTTCATAGTTGCCCATGTATGCGGATTCAGAAATGGTAGCACATATTAACTGAACACAAGACAAAACGTACATATTTACTGCACATAACAAAATGAAACAGGACATTGGCTTTTATCAGTTCAGTTAAGATTGTGGTATTTGTAGTTCTTGGACTTTTTTTTAACCTTAGACTTGCAGAAAGTATAGGTTGCTTACCTGTAACCACATTTCTTCGAGTGTCCATCTGTGAAATGCCGCACATGTGGGTTCCCGCTGCGCATGCGCAGGGGAAACCCACATGTGTGCATTTCACAGATGACACAAAGAATAATTAATGAATTCCCAATACTCTTCATTAGGAAGACATTCTTACCAGTAAATTTACATGGATTAGAGAAACAAAGAAAATAGTGGAAGGTTTTTCACAACTGAGATCAGACTACTTTAACTGCATGGCAGCAAGATAAACTAGTATAATATTGATATTCCTCTCTCCCGTCATTCGAGAAACAGAAAGCACCACAAAAACCATCCTTTGGAGAGTGAGGACTGTCAAGACTATAATGTAATTCCCAAACCCAAAGGGGGAAAATAATGTGAGCAGTAGACAATGACAAGCAAATGGAATGTACTCAAAGTCATGTTGAAAATACACAGACTTCTCTCAACACTTAGGCATTTTGGTAGGATTTTAAGAGGAAGAAAACATACAGCCCTAACTTGCCATTGTTTTCTTCCCAAGATAGCACACTAATCATCTTCCTGGTTTGTTGGCACATTGCTTAATAATTCTTTTAAGAATCTATTTCATTTATGTATCTCATTAATGTGTACTATCAAATTACACATGTGTACTGAGATTCCACCTGAACATTAGGAAGAACTTCCTGACTGTGGGAGCTGTTCGGTAGTGGAACTATCTACCCTGGAGTGTGATGGAGGCTCATTCTTTGGAGTTTTTAAGAAGCTGGATGGCCATCTGTCAGGTACTTTGAATGCAATTTTCCTGCTTTTTGGCAGGGGGTTGGACTGGATGGCCTACGAGGTCTCTTCCAACTCTATGATTCTATGAAATTAAGAAGCACAGCAGCTCACTGGCAATACATGGGTAAAAGTGATACTGCACAAAACACCTAAAATGTTTAAAAGTAATTCAACAACCAGTTCAGCTGGATTTAGATTCATATGGCCATGAAACTTTCTCTAATTTAAAATACAGGTTTTTTCCTCAGAGAAAATCCACACATCAAGCATCATGAGTTAGTTACCTGAGAGTTTTTAGATGCCTCTGTGGTTATGTCATTCTCTGCCGAAGGCTCAGTTTCCACTTTCTCTGAACTATTAATGGAGTTTTCCATTGAAGACTGAGAAGTTTGTTCATCCGAAGCATCTAGGGAGAAAATTGAGAAGGAGATTTGTTGTCAATATGTACATATCTGCAGAGAGAGCTTTCACTAGAACTATCACCAGATTCAAACAATTTTCACAGATCAAATGAGCATCAATTAGCTCGTTCAAAACGCATACATTTTCATACATTGCAAAGAAAGATCAGTGCTGTCGTTCTTAGAAAACCTTATGGCTAAGTGGAATCTTGTGTCCTCTAAGGGGGAGAAAGGTCTCTGTTTGTTTAGAAAACAACCCTGCAGATGGCTGCATTACATGATTAAGGACTGCTTCCTAGTTGATTAAAATGGTTTTGAAATGCATTACTCTAATACAAGCTGCAGCCCTATTTTACCTCCAGCTGTAAGTGCCTGCAGATCTCTATCCCTAGCAGGGCAAAGGGCCAATAAACAGCAGACAAGAGGGATGCCCAGGAACATGGTAGACTCCAAGGCCCTCCTCCTGGCCACTAGAGGGAGGTACAGCCCCATGGAAATGCCAATGCCAAGCATTTGTAAGCCTTTCCAAGCCCTGCGATAAGACCCACATGGTGCAGCTAGTCCATAGCAAAGAGCCAATGAGAGATAATGGTGTCATCCCCGCCTTATATACAAGGCAGCAACCTAACAATCCTAAACTACTTTCCCTCTCATGATGCCTAATATTAGAGGTTAGCTTAATTAGTGCCTTTTGGAATGATTGTCACGGTATCCGAAAACCACTAACTGTTCTTTAGGGTTCAACACTGTTCAACAAAGTTTTCAATAACTGGATCTACCCAAGAATAAAACCTCTTAAACCAGCATTTCTCAAGCCTCTCTTACCACCTGTCAAATAAGTTTTTGAAATGCGTAATAGGGTTAAATGGCCTATGATTTGCATATGGGAAAAACAACAGTGTGGTGAATAAGACCCATGGAGAAAACTTAGGCTTTAAGTTGTGAATCAACAGAGTAGATAGTAACGCAGCCAATAGATAAGGAGAGTGGGTGAAGGTAACAATTTGAGAGGAAAAACAAGATATTCAGGCCTAAGTATGAGACAATGATGAGGCATCAGAAATCTCCCAGTCAGCTGAACATGTAGGACAGGATGGGGGGGGGGGGGAGCGGGCTGGGTGGCAGCAGTAGAACACCAAACTGTCCAACAAGGCTATACAAAAGTATACAAAAACCTTTTAGAATGATCACCAGAAACAGAACAAGTTAAAGACTGTGTGATCAAATGGACAGCAAATATTGGACACACAATTAAATTAGAAGAATGGGAAAATCTGGAACCAAAACCTAAAATATACATACTCCTATGACTTTAAAGAAAATTGGTATAAAATGATGTACCAATCGTATATAACACCACAAAAGCTAGCAAAAAAAACTGATTCAAATATCCAAGATAAGCGTTGGAAATGTGAAGATCATGCAGGAATATTTTTCCACATGTGGTGGACTTGTAAAATAGCAAAAAATTACTGGAAAGCAATACAAGAAAAATTCAGAAGATATTAGATATGAAAGTGCAATTGAAACTGGATTTTTAAAATTAGGAATTACAGATATGACCACTGATAAAAATACAGACAGACTATTCAATTAGATAGTGACAGCAGCTAGAAGAATATACGCTCGAGAACGGAGAAAAAAAACCCTCAAAACTTTTATTTATTTATTCACCACACTTTTATCCCGCCCTTTTCAGCCCAAAGGCGACTCAGGACGGCGTACAGACTGGCAACAATTCGATGCCAAACACACATAAATACATCATTTAAAACAGGTTAAATCCCATAATAAAATTCATATAAAGACAATATAAAACTATAAAAAATCAATGACTTCCAGGTTTAAATCCATGTCCATTTGCATCGTTAAGCAGTTCCATATTCGTTCACAATACTGAGTTTATCTGGTTACAATGGGGTTCCAAAAGCTTGCTTGAAGAGCCAGGTTTTTACTCTTTTCCCAAAGGTCAGGAGGGAGGGGACTGATCTAATATCCCTAGGGAGTTCCACAGCTGAGGGGTCACCAATAAGAAGGCCCTGCCCCTTGTCCCTGCCAAGCGCGCCTGTAAGGTAGGCGGGATAGAGAGCAGGGCCTCCCCAGATGATCTTAAATTCCTGGAAGGTTCGTAAGGGGAGACACGTTCGGATAGGTAAGTTGGACTGGAACCGTTTAGGACCGTTTATAGGCTAAAACCAGCACTTTGAATTGTGCCCAGTAGCAAACTGGGAGCCAGTGGAGCTGGCGAAACAGCAGAGTCATATGCTCCCTGAGCGCTGCTCCCGTTAGTAGCCTGGCTTCCTCTTGCTGGAGCATTTGGATGTCAAAAATAATTGATATAATGAATATGGATAGATTAACTCAACTATTATCCAAAAATGCAAGTGGTTATAAAAAGACAACTGACTGGTCACCACAAAGAAACTATATGATTCAAGAAAAAATGAAACTGATAATACAACTACAGGGTGAGGCAACATAACTTCCTTTTTTAAAATGCGCGCCAGTCGGTTGAAGATGTAGTGGAGCTCTAGTGGTCTCGTTCGAGAGGTGGGAGTATAAAGTTTTGTCCTGACACAGTTCAGTCGCCATCATGTGTTGGAACAGTGAGGAGCGTGCTTTTGCCGTTGAGGCCTACTTTTCGAGCGGATTTGGAGTGGCCGGCCTGCTCTCCAGATTTGGCCCCTTGTGATTTTTTATCTATGGAGTTTTTTGAAATCCCGTGTTTATGTGAACCATCCAAGGACCCTACAAGATTTGAAGACCAACATCCATGAAGAAACTGCCAACATAACGCCTGCTATGCTGGCAAGAGTCATGACAAATGCCAGAAATCGGTTTACTCAGTGTATGGAGAATGGGGGACGTCACCTACCTAATTTGATCTTCAAAACGACGTAAAACAAAACTTTAGGTATGAGCCTACATTATAAAAAAAATCCTGATTCATACAATGGGTTTTATTAAGTTTTGAAAAAAGGAAGTTATGTTGCCTCACCCTGTAAATTAAATCGAAGAGGGAAGAACATAAATATAAAAGATTAAGAGAGGACAATGTAAACCATGGTGGATAAGATTGGAAGACAACTTTTTCTTTTTCTTTCTTTTGCTATTCTCCTACCCTTTCCCAGAGCCTTACTAAGCTCAGGTTGTCGTTTTCTGTTTATTCCTTCCTTCCTTCTTTTTCTTTCTACTTTCACTTGCGGTAGTATTCCCTCAGCCTAACTCCACTTCCCCATATGCCCTATTTTTTATATTGTAAATATTAGAATTTCAAGTTCTTAATCAATAAAAAATTGTATTTTTTTAAAAAAAGATGCAACAAGGCTAACTGAGAAAATATACACTGAAAATAGGAAAAGACCAAGGACAGAACCACCAACAAAGAGAGGAAAAGCAAAGCATGTCCCCTAGGAGAGCAAGGAGACAGGCAGAAGAGAACAAGTGAACCCAAAGTTACAATAAAAGCAACATGCAATTAAAACTAAGGACAAGAAAAAGAGAGGCAGACCTCAACTGGGAAGGATGTGTGGAGGAACAGCCAGGCTGCCAAACACTGGCTCCAGTTCTCTCCCAGTGGGTCTGCTTGCCTTGAAAGAGCTTCCCGGGCTCAAGTGTATGAATTACCTTCTGAACCTGGCTCTTCTTTTGCATCTCCTTGAGTGTCATCGGACTTGGCCCCAGTGCCTTCAGCCTGCCCCGTTGAATTCTGCTCTGGAGCAGGACTCGAATTGCTGCTGTTCTCCTGCTTTATGGGCGAAACATCCGCTATTGAACTCTGGTTGCTATTGTCATCTGGAAAGAAGAGATGAGGAGCCTCATTTTTTCCACTGAGCCAGACCTTTCATTTACATATATATATTGCAGTACTATATAAAATTACCTTGCATTCCTGACATAGCTCACAATTCCATACTAAAGAGCAGTTTTGCACGGCAGAAATGTAAAAGACCATGAACCATTTTATAACTGGAGTGGTCTTTTGGCTAGAAATGCTCATTTCAGAGCCAATGGAAGTGTTCCTTACTGTGCATAGGGATGCCAATTTTCTTCAAAGGGGTATGTGAATGTTGGAGACCCTTTCCACACAGGTGAATAAAATCCCACATTATCTGCTTTGAACTAGAATAAATGGCAGTGTGGACTCAGATAACCCAGTTATCTGCAGATATTGTGGGATTTTCTGCCGTGATATTCTGGGTTATATGGCTGTGTGGAAGGGCCCGGACTCTCATAATCCAAACCTTCCCTTTCCCAAAGCCACACTAAGGGGCCTTCCACACAGCCCTATATTCCAAAATATCAGGGCAGAAAATCCCACATTATCTGAGTGTAGACTCAGATAAGCCAATTCAAAGCAGATATTGTGGGATTTTCTGCCTTGATATTCTGGGTTATAGAGCTGTGTGGAGGGGCCCCAAGGTTGCTTCCAAAAGAAAGGAACTACTGGGAGAGGGGGGTACAGAATCATCTCCCCCACCTCCAATTATTTCAATGTTAAAATGGAGAACAGGAGACATTAATCAAGAACCGCACCTGCCTCCGTCACACTTCCTCCCATCTCCACATCAAATATTTATCACCCATTCACAGGCTTTTTCCAAGCTGTGTAAATGTCTTTGAGAGGCGGCCTGCACCTGATTAATTTTTAATGGAAGTGGAAGGGGCATTCCAAAACTATGACAAGTCCAGACTGCCTAGTGCAGAACACCACTGACAGATACATATTTATACCGCAAAGAAAACAATGCCACGACAATGCCTTGTTCGTGTCATGTGCAGCTGTCCTTCAGCCTGGCATGGAGTGAAACAAAACCAACCAAGAAGTGGGGAGGCAGCACAATTCCATTCACCGAGGAAAGGAATACAACAAAGAAAGCCCCAGAAGTAGGCCATCCTACCATGGAACATCAAGCTCTCCATGTGTTCGGGGAAAGAGCTCCCATTTTTACATTTTTTACAGTAGTGGCTCCCAACCTTTGCTCTGCCCCCCCCCCCCCCCCGGCATCTTTGAAATTCTGATTAGTGACATATAATTCTTATTATTCAAAAAGTGAACTCCTATTTAGTCATGTGGAGGAAGCCTAAAAGTCCATTAACTTGGTCTAAACAAAGTTTCCAAAAAACATGACATCCATGAAAGAGAAAAAAAAACAAATAAATTTGAGTAATCTTAAGTGTCCCACTTCATTGTGTCTATTTGGTGAGAAAATGTGAGAATCTCCTTTCACCTGATGATAATTTTCTTGCAACTGATAACCATTATTTTTTTTCATACAAAAATATTGACTTACCTATGAAAGTAATAATTTTGCTTTGGACTTTTTCACAGATTTCTTGCTACCATATATACCAGGGGTCCTCAAACTAAGGCCTGTGGGCCGGATACAGCCCTCCAAGGTCATTTACCCGGCCCTCGCTCAGGGTCAACCTAAGTCTGAAACGACTTGAAAGCACACAACAAGAACAACAATCCTATCTCATCAGCCAAAATCAGGCCCACACTTCCCATTGAAATACTAATCACTTTATATTTGTTAAAATTGTTCTTCATTTTAATTATTGTATTGTTTTCATGTGTTTTTTGCATAGGAATTCATTCATGTTTTTTTTTTTCAAATTATAATCCGGACCTCCAACAGTTTGAGGGACTGTGACCTGGCCCTCTGTTTAAAAAGTTTGAGGACCCCTGATATATACTCAAGCATAAACCAAGTTTATCAGCCCTTTTTAAGGCTGAAAAAGCCCCCCTCGGCTTATACTTGAGTCAAAGTTATTTATTATTATACTCTGTTATTATTTTTATTTTTATTACATTTATTGTTTTACTCTATACTCTATTTTTATTATTACATTTATTTTACTCTATTATTGTTATTATTACATCGATTATTTTACTCTATAATTATTTTTATTATACTTATTATTTTACTCTTATTATTATTATTGAAAGGATACATAAGCACATTTATATTGAAAAAGGTTAGAATGGTTTAATCAGAGTTGGACAGTCTTATCTTAAATTACAGTTTTATGTAAACATTCAAAAACATTTAACCTACTGATGCCTCAATTAATATAATTTTATTGGTATATATTCTTATCTTGAAATTTACCAGTAGCTGCTGCATTTCTCACCCTTGGCTTATACTCGAGTCAATACATTTTCCCAGTTTTTTGTGGTAAAATTAGGCGACTCGGCTTATATTTGGGTTAGCTTATACTCGAGTTGGAACATTCTAAGGAAATAAAGGGTAACTCACTTCACATAAGACTGAGAAACACCTTTGTGGAGTTTGGATAATCTTTTCAGTGGTTGAAAGCTGGCTAATAAAAGACATCCCCTCATTAAGCGATTAAGTTTGGAAAATTACAGGTTCCACTGGAAAGTAGCCATGGTAACATTTAATAATTAGTTTTAAGTATTAATCTAGTGATCAGATGCTTCTGGGGAGAAAACATAACATATTAAGGGGTTGTATTGTCGAAGGCTTTCATGGCTGGAATCACTAGGTTCTTGTGGGTTTTTTCGGGCTATAGAGCCATGTTCTAGAGGCATTTCTCCTGACGTTTCGCCTGCATCTATGGCAAGCATCCTCAGAGGTAGTGAGGTCTGTTGGAAGTAGGTAAAATGGGTTTATATATCTGTGGAATGGCTGGGGTGGGGCAAGGAGCTCTTCCCTGCTGCAGTTAGGTGTGAATGTTTAGCTGATCACCTTCATTAGCATTTGAGGGCCTGCCTGAGCCTGGGAAAATCTGTTGCTGGGAGGTGTTAATCTGTGCCTGGTTTTTTCCTCTCTGTTGTTTAGCTGTTATAATTTTTAGAGTTTTTTAATACTGGTAGCCAGATTTTGTTCATTTTCATGGTCTCTTCCTTTCTGTTGAAATTGTCCACATGCTTGTGGATTTCAATGGCTTCTCTGTGTAGTCTGACATGGTGGTTGTGAGAGTGGTCCAGCATTTCTGTGTTCTCAAATAATATGCTGTGTCCAGGCTGGTTCATCAGGTGCTCTGCTATGGCTGACTTCTCTGGTTGAAGTAGTCTGCAGTGCCTTCCATGTTCCTTGATGCGTGTCTGGGCGCTGCGTTTGGTGGTCCCTATGTAGACTTGTCCACAGCTGCATGGTATACGGTAGACTCCTGCAGAGGTGAGAGGATCCCTCTTGTCCTTTGCTGAACGTAGCATTTGTTGGATTTTCTTGGTGGGTTTGTAGATTGTTTGTATGTTGTGTTTCCTCATCAGCTTCCCTATGCGATCAGTGGTTCCCTTGATGTATGGCAGGAACACTTTTAAGGGGTTTCTAGGAACAATTTTAAGAGGGAACTGCATTTATACCAGCAATGCCAGTTTCGTACCATACTCTGATACAACCAAACATCAAAGGTACATAGAACAGCACCAAGTCACTTCTCAATCCATGTGGAAATCAACTGCAAAGATCTGAAGACTCGTTCTGTCACTTAGCTTTGTGTGACTTTGGCAAGACCTTCCTGCTGTACTCACCATGCATATCCATCATCCCAGGAGATGAGCTGTTTTCTGGAGTCGTAACCTCAGAACCACACTTTTCATCTTTGCCCTTTTTCTTGTTCTTGGTTTTCTAAGGAAGGAGAAAATTAAAAACACCAGTTCATGGAAAGTCAGTGTGTGTCAGAAGATGGATTCCAACACCGGAAGCCATGTGCTAGCTCCTGATCCACAGTTACAAACCAATAATGTGTTCTATACTATCCTAAGTGCCACTCTGAATCTTGTTTAAGAGAGGAAAGTGAGGTATAAATAAATACAGCAATAAATTTGTGCATTTTAACCAGAGAAAAGTATAATCCTCCATACATATAAATATCATCTGATACACTGTAATGTAGCTGCTTTGAGTCTCCTGTGGAGACAAAAAGCGGGGTAAAAACATAATAAACATAATAATAGTAATAATAATAATAATGTAAAGCTCCATTTAAAATATACTCTTTATCCTATGGTTTCATCTTTTCATAGGAAAACATTTCACTCAGACCCTTGTACACTGCCATATAAAATTCAGATTTATCTGTTTTGAACTGGATTATATGGCAGTGTAGAAGGGGCCTCAGTGTTTGATACTGGTTTACAAAGGGTTACTGATTGAAATGTAAAAATAGAAAGCTTGTTTTGGGTGTCTTTGCATTACACTAAGATTTAATTTATCTGTTTTTTAAAAGAACTGCTACTGATTTTTCTTCAAAAATCCCCAGAAGTTTATTACTATTTACACTTGTGGAGGCAGTGATCTGATAAAATGGAAACTGCAAATTGAATCAAACGTTATACAAGATGACAAGCCAAACCATTCCTCCCCAAACGCTCTTGGTGTGGCAGAGGATAAAGTGGCAAAGCAAATGATGATCACATCCATCGTGTGAAAAATCCATGAACGGAAAAGGATGCAGCATTTTCAATTAGAAGGTGACGTAATTGGTCTCCTAGGAGAAAGTGCCAGCTGCGCACTCTTCACAAACCCAGCACTTGCCGAGAGCCTGAAAAGTCAGATGCTGGAGAGGGGGCACACGGGAGGGGAGTGGGGCAGCTTAGAAAGGAGGGTATCAGGGTCAGGCCACATTATCCCAATTCAGAGCAGATGGTTAGAGGACTGCCACAGACTCCAGAAGGCATCAGCCCCAATTTTAGGGATTTTTGTACCCAGAAGCATTTTGTTGTCTCAAGTGTAGACAGACGGGGAAAAACCATGCGGCAGCCACACACATAAAGACACATTTTAGCAAAGTCGCTGCAAAAACAGGTGGCTATAAAAAGAATTCTATGATGTAACCTGCAGCACTGAAATCCTCAAAAGGTTCTCCATGGGAAAAAAGTCACTTCTGAAAAGCAGAGGAAGGACTTTCTGTGACCTTAAAACAAACCCTTTTCATAGTGTCAATATACTGTAAATGGCCAACTTGTCCATTAGACGACGATTTGGGAAAAGGCCCTCTAGCCAGTTGTTCCAATACATTTTACAGAACATGACAAATCACGACAAAACAGTCATTTTCTCTGTGGCAAGTGTTCCAAATACATACTGAAAGCATATAACACAATGCTTTGTTTGTTTGTTTATTTATTTATTTCTATCCCACTTTTCTCCCATTTAAAAACCCTGTTTAAAAATTCAATTCCTATGGAGGATTTTCAGGCTTCTTTCCAATACCTTTGGAAAAAATATGTTAACACCAGAGGATACAGGGTCCCAGAAATAAAGGCGAAATTGATCCCCCTGTCATTTCTCCTATTAAGTATAGATGCACTGCCTCCCTGCCATGATCTGCCCATTTAGTAGCATTTCTCTAAAACTACAAGGTGAATCAACTTGAAGTTTTCTGAAGGCTGTCATGCAATTCCAAGGCATCTAAACATCCTGCTATACTTACATCATCTACCTTGGGCTCTGTTACTGGCACCCATTTGTAAATCCTGAGAGACGTGTCACCAACTGTCACCCACTTCTTCTCCCTGGAAAAAAGACAAGACAAGAAATATTAATTCAGAACAGCATGCCCTAAGAAGAACTGCACAGTTACATATATTATGGGTAAACAACAACAAGCTATTCAAAATGCATGCACACTTTCCACTGAATGGAAAAACATACCAAGACATGTACAATTATCTGTATGCAACACAAAAGACACATTATCTGTGTTAGCAGTAAGCACTTTCACCATTCTGAGGCTTCTTGTCAGCACAACACAAGTTGGGGGTTACATAGGGGAAGAAGGCAGAAAAGACAGAAAGAATTCTATCAATCCGAAACAATAAGATTTGTTCACATTTTTGTGTAATTTAGCCACACTTTTTAAAAAACAGTATATCTGTAATTCAAAAAGAAATTTCACCACACCAATACATTTTAGAGATTCTCAAAAGCAATACTAAAAATGTTTAAAATGAAACCACAACTAGTGATAGCTATGTATTTTCTATTTCACATAAGGTCTGGTCCATCTAAGTCAAGAATTCCCAAAGAAAGGAGTATTACAGCCTCTTACGCAAAGCTTCACTAGCCAACAGCAGGAAAATGACAAACAGGTGATGCCCAGGTACCATTTCCGTAATAGAAAACTTTGCAGATTAGGAAGCCTTTGCTTGTTTGTTGAGCTCATGGATGCTTAACACAACCAGCTTACACAACAAATCATAACTTGTTCATTTGGACAAAACAACAGACCATGGTCCACCCCTCACCAGGTCAGAAAGCTTGGAAGGATTTGCATGTGAGTAAAAAAAGGGTGTACATCCAAGTAACAACAAACTATTGTATTTCTGGCAACACCACACACATGCATATGCATTAGCAGCCTAAGGCAGATGGTAACTGGGGCCACACTATCCACAGCAAGCATGAACTACAAGAACACAAAGGAAGCAGAAACAGAAAAGGGACAAAGCAAATTCCTTCCAGTAGGTCTCATTTCTCCTGCAGACTTTAATCTGTAGCAAAGGATGTGTGAGATTTGGATGAATTTTAAAGATAATAATGGCAAGATATACATGTAACAAAATTTGAAAACATTTCTGTTCCTGGTTTGAAAGTGTTATTTCCTGTTTAATTGTCTGTTATGTACTTTGAAAATAGTCGTTATACTCCAGAAACATCATTTTTGTGGCTGTCATTTTTAACCTTTTAATGTGCCATTTTTAACCTATCCTATGGAATTTCAACTTTTTTTGCCATTTAATAAACTTTTCCCATGTTTTTATGATAGAACCAATTAGGAAAAAGACATTTATAACCCCAGGAACAATCATTGTGTTGCACAGTGTTATTACTTTTGCATTTCTTCAATACAACAAAGCTTCTTTGCTTTCATGGGGGCTCACTTGGAAGACTTGCAGTGAGGCTTCTGTAGCTGGATTGCTCCCCTTACCACTAATTATTCATCACTGGTCCATAGCTAACAGACATTTCTCTTCTTGGAAATAGGAACCAAGCCACTTATGATATTGTGTTAAAAATGCTAAGACATTCATCTCAGTAAGAACTCTGGCTTTGAGACACAGTGTTCAAGTTCTGAACTACCAGATCAGCTTCTGATGTTTCGTAACTTGAACCACCGAAAGCTTAAGGCTACAAGCTGTAAAACTACAACTGAGAGCGGTGGTGTGTTGACTGTGCTGGTCCTGTGAGCCATTCTGCAGAGAGTTTAGGAAATAAAAGTACAATTGTATCCAATGGACACAAATATGGCACTAGTCCCTGGCACATTCTGGAGGAAAATACCAGTCATCCGCATCAGAAAACCTGAAAAACACTGAGGTTGAGGTTCCATCTCCCATGCTGCCTGGAGCTCATCTTTGAAAACAAAGTACAAGACAGACTGAGTAGCTATTAAGACAATGAAAGCTTGGATGAATGAGCCCATTGCTTTCCCCTTAAACACAAGGAACAGTGGAAATGTCTTTCGTTATGAGCCCAAGGATTAAACTGTTTTGCAGTCTCCCAGACCTCTTCCTACACCACCATTTTGTTGAGGCTACCTTAGAAAACCAAAAATTCTAGATATAGTGATAATCTCTGAACACACACGTATCTTCACAAACAGTACAATACAGAAGGGAAACAGACATTAAATCTCTATCGGCAAGAGTGGAAGTTATATTTGAAATGTTCAACTCGTGTGTGATCTGTAATAGTTTTATTTATTATTTATTTACTGTATTTATACCCTGCTCTTCTCACCCTTTAGGGAACCCAGAGCGGCTTACATATATAGGCAACGATTCAATTTTAATTTGTTTTAACTTGACAAGTTTGATTTTACTTACCTTTCCATGTCTAAGATTAAGATTAAAATTACGATACAGAAAATTATGGATGCTGAACTCAGACCTTTATGTGCTGACCCACCAACTATTATTATATTTATTTATATTTCACTGTTTCTCTCCACAAAGGAGACTTAAAGGGGCAACTACTACTCAGATTTCAAAGAGCTACCTACGATGGACCCAAGGGACTGAGTTTCACTTTTCAAAACCCACCAGCAGCAGACCCTTTTTATTGGTCACTGCAGACTTCAATAATAGAAAACTAACCATGTGGCACTTTTTGCATAGCTGAGGATAATGTCTTAAGCGTCTAATGTTGGATGGATCAAAGAACCTTTGTCCACTGCAATACATGAAGGAATATAGAACACAAGCCCTGCTTGCCTCATATGTATGTCAACTATTCTAACAGCCGATATGCGTCAGCAAAATGGAAAATGTAAGGACGTCCCCAAAACTGCACGCATCAAGAATTTGATCCTCCAGTTTAAAAAATATTTCTTAAATGCATTTGTGTGAACTTCAGATAAATGTTTCTAATCAAAAAGACTCCATTTTAATTAAACAGTTTACCTCTTTGCAAATGTCTAATATACTAAAATCTGTATAGAATATATGGAGAAACGGTTTTGCTCAACATTCAATCTGTCAAATCTGTATAAATAAAACCGAGGAGAAATAAAAAAGCTCTTCAACCATGGTTAAGTTTTTACTCCATAAGCGTGTATACAATCTCTTTCGATCTTTCCTTACATTACTAAAATACAGTGTTTCATCTTCTTTACCTACCAACACCAATCAGTGCTTTTAAATGGTACTTTTCAATATTTTAATTGTCAATGTAAGCCGGCAATTTGGCAGTCGGGCTTGTCTTTCTTAGCTTTCCACAACCCTTTTCTCTGCTGCTTTGTCAAAGGCCTATTAACAATATTACTTGAGCACAGCATTAATCACACTCCATTATCAGATCTAGGTGCACCTGGCTTCCTCTGGAATATGACTTTCTTCTTCAGATTAAATGACAGGTGCAGATGGGGCATATGAGGATAACCACAAAGGAAAAGAAAAACAACAATCAGTGGACATCTATTACAGTATTAAAAGAAATCCCTGGCTTACAGGTTCCCATCAAGTCTCAGTTTCAGGAGACATCTAAAAGAACATTTCAGCTCCTTCAACGCTAATGACAGAGGGGCACCATCTGGAAAACAGAAAGCTGTGTCCGCATCCACAGCTCCACTTACACACATCAAACCAATAGAAATCCATATGTTTTTGAAAAGAAAAAAAGGTTGCACTAAACATCAAGCCACAGACAATAATGATAATAATAATATATTTATTACTCGCCTCTCCATGCAGCTCGAGGCGGGATAAAACATCATTAAAACAAGAGATAAAAAACGATTAAAAGACACACCAGAAGATACACAGAGTTAAAATACAAGTTAAAATCCACTGATAAAATACAGACTAAAATTCACAACTTAAAATCAACTGGGTAGGCCTGCCGGAAGAGATGGGTCTTCAATTGTGTCTTAAATTCTGACATCTGATCTAGCTGTCAAAGCTCTTCTGGCAGGTCATTCCACAGTCTTCTTGGGGCAGCTGATGAAAAGGTCCTCTGGGTGATGGTTGCTAGTTGGGTTCTAGCTGGTTGTGGAGCTGGCGTCCTTCAGAGGACCTCAGTATCCTAAGAGGCAGATTGTACAGGAGAAGGCCATCTTGTGGGTAATCTGGACCCAAACCATATAGGGCTTTAAAGGTCAGGAAATTTGCCAGGAAATTAATTGGCAGCCAGTGGAGTAGCTTTAATATGGGTGTAATATGCTCACTCCTGGATATTACTGTGACCACTCGGGTTGCTGTGTTTTGAACTAATTGGAGTTTCTGAACTTGGTACAGAGTAACTTTGGTATTGGTTGTTGGTTTTGATGGATGTTTTATATACTGTTTAATGTTGTTTTTTATTTCTTTATATTGTTTTTGTTATTTTGTTGGTATATATTTTAATGTGTTATGTTTTAACTGTTCTGCTGAGCCTGGCTCCATGTAAGCTGCCCCAAGTCCCGTCTGAGAGATGGAGGCGGGGTATAAAAATAAAGTTGTTATTATTATTGTTGTTGTTGTTATTGTTATTATCCCAATGTAAAGCGCATTGCAGAAGTCCAACCTTGAGGTTACCAGTGTGTGCCCCACCATCTTTAGGTCCTCCAATTCTAGGAAGGGTCTCAGTATGCATATCAGCTGAAAGTAAGCACTCCTGACTGTTGCATCAACTTGGGCTGCCCTTTGGACAGACGAATCCCAAATTGCGGACACAGTCTTTCTGGGGGAGTAGGGCCCCATACAGAACTGGTTGATACACCTTCATTCTCAGATTAGGACCCTTGATGACAAACACCTCTCTCTTGTCTGGATTCAGTTTCAATTGGTTTTTCTGCTCCAGCCCATTACCTTCTCCAGGCATTAATTCAGAGGGGATTCATTATCCTTAGCTAGAGCTATTTTTGAAGGCGTGGAGAAATATATTTGGGTGTCATCAGCATACTGATACCACCCTGCCCCATGCCTCCGGATGATCTTTCCCAGAGGTTTCATGTAAATGTCAAAAAGCATTGGGGACAGAATGGCACCTTGTGGAACACTACGTAACAGCTCCTTTTTTGAGGAGCAACTATCCC